CCTAGTGGCACCCGGGGCCCAGCCGCAGGCATCACCAGGAGCATTGGCATTGCTTTTTGCACGGGGTACACCGCCAAGCTCAGGGGGTGCACATGTACCTACATGCACCCCTATGCATCGCCAACGGCTCTCTGCAAAAGTGGAATAGCCCTGTGTTTCTCCATTAAAATGAGAAATCTGCGTTTTCCTCAGATAAAGAGGGAAATCTGAGTTTTTCCCGGTTTTTTTCATGGGAAACGGAAAACCCAGATCCCTGCATATAACCCAAGAGCAGAGGCAGCCCTAGGGAACAGCCCTCTGGGAATGATCCCCTACTCTGCAGTACCCCTAGGGACAAGGGTCCCCCTTGCTCCCTCCAACCAGAATCTGCAGGAGCTGTGGCTCTTCCCCCTAGAGGTGGACCTTCCTGTGACTCACACACTTTTCCCTGGACAAACGTCAACTCTGCAAGGCCTCAGGTCTCAGGGCAGAGCCTGGCTCAAACACCCTGGTGCAAACAGGAAGGATACTCACCAGTCACCACAATCTCCACAGGGTTGCTGGGATTTGACAAGACATATCATTCTCCCTGGTAGCAGTAGCTGCAGCTATAGTTCCCTCTGTGCTCCCAGGTCACGCTGGGGATGAAGAACTCAGCCACATCCCACCTAGTTTTCAAAGGCTGCAGCAGTTCCTGAGCTCCAGTCTTTTGCAGGAAGAACTTCAGGTCCTGGAGCTGACATCGACGGGCACAGCAGATGGTGGCATCTTGTCCCAGAGCAATTGGCCCACTGTTGATGAGAGAGCTTCTGGGTCTGGGGTAGCTGAGATCTGTGTGTGGGGGAGAGGCAGTGAGACACGGACCTACGCAGTTATCCAGCCCTAACCTCACCTGCCAGGCTGAGCCACAGGGCAAAGACAGGACCCTCTGGGAAAAGACTCTCCTCAAGATTGCAGAACTTCCCTGGGGGCCCAGAATGGGGCCCTGGGAACAGGGCGCAGAGACCAGACCCCTGTCCAGCATTTCTATCCACCTTCACCAGCACATGGGTTGTCTCTGCCTCCGTTATTGCCCTGTACAGGAAATGACTCCCTGACCCGGGGGCTTTTTCTGGCACTCAGCGCAGCAAACCCCAGCTGCATGGACACTGAAATATCATCCTTCCAGGTCCCTCCTACAACGGGGAAACAGGCATGGGGAGATGAGCTGCCCTTTGCCTCTGAGGGACAAGGACGGCGGGAGAAAGGCAAGAGGGGCAGGAGGAAAAGCCACTGGAGGCAGGGGATGCTAAACAGGGAAATCTGAGTTTTTCCTTTGTTTTTTTCATGGAAAATGGAAAACCCAGATCCCTGCATATAACCCAAGAGCAGAGGCAGCCCTAGGGAACAGCCCTCTGGGAATGATCCCCTACTTTGCAGTTCCCCTTGGGACAAGAGACTCCCTTGCTCCCTCCAACCAGAATCTGCAGGAGCTGTGGCTCTTCCCCCTAGAGGTGGACCTTCCTGTGACTCGCACACTTTTCCCTGGACAAATGTCAACTCTACAAGGCCTCAGGTCTCAGGGCAGAGCCTGGCTCAAACACCCTGGTGCAAACAGGAAGGATACTCACCAGTCACCACAATCTCCACAGGGTTGCTGGGATTTGACAAGACATATCATTCTCCCTGGTAGCAGTAGCTGCAGCTATAGTTCCCTCTGTGCTCCCAGGTCACGCTGGGGATGAAGAACTCAGCCACATCCCACCTAGTTTTCAAAGGCTGCAGCAGTTCCTGAGCTCCAGTCTTTTGCAGGAAGAACTTCAGGTCCTGGAGCTGACATCGACGGGCACAGCAGATGGTGGCATCTTGTCCCAGAGCAATTGGCCCACTGTTGATGAGAGAGCTTCTGGGTCTGGGGTAGCTGAGATCTGTGTGTGGGGGAGAGGCAGTGAGACACGGACCTACGCAGTTATCCAGCCCTAACCTCACCTGCCAGGCTGAGCCACAGGGCAAAGACAGGACCCTCTGGGAAAAGACTCTCCTCAAGATTGCAGAACTTCCCTGGGGGCCCAGAATGGGGCCCTGGGAACAGGGCGCAGAGACCAGACCCCTGTCCAGCATTTCTATCCACCTTCACCAGCACATGGGTTGTCTCTGCCTCCGTTATTGCCCTGTACAGGAAATGACTCCCTGACCCGGGGGCTTTTTCTGGCACTCAGCGCAGCAAACCCCAGCTGCATGGACACTGAAATATCATCCTTCCAGGTCCCTCCTACAACGGGGAAACAGGCATGGGGAGATGAGCTGCCCTTTGCCTCTGAGGGACAAGGACTACTTGTTCACTGCCACCCTGGCCCCCGACAGCTCATCAAAGCTCCCGATGTGCATTGTATAAGTCTCTGGTGCCCAGGGAGTACAATAAGGAGACCAAATTGCAGGACTCCTGTTCTCCACTCACAGCTCTGGGCAGGACGGGGCTGGTTGGTTTGAGCACCAGGCCAGGAGTCAGGACACCTGGGTTGTGTTCAGATTTCCACCTGGGCTTGTGGGCAGGGTTGTGCAGCTCTGCTCTATAGTACATACGTGTGCTGTATAATACCACACACATCATCTCCTCACTCTGTGACCACTGTATAGCCGGAGAAAGGTCTTCTTGCCCTGTAACTCCCACCTGGGAAGACCCCTACCCCTGGGGTATAGGTGGGAAATGTGGAGCAGGCAGAGCCCTGGATAAGTAACATCCCTTTCCAGGCCCTTGGGACTTAGGGTGGAGCCACACTTCCAGCATCAGCCTTCAGCATGGAAACCTGTGGAGGGTCTGGTGGGAGTGAGGCAGAGACATGGGGGCCCCTCACCTCTCACCACCAGCTCCACAGGGTCACTGAGATCCAACAAGCTGTTGCTATCCGTTAAAGGGTGATAGTTGCAGGTGTAGTTTCCTCCATCTTCCCAGTTCATGTTGGTGATGGGAAATTTAGCTACATTTCCCCCAGACACCTCCTGCTGCAGCTGGTCTGTGCATCCAGGTTTGTGCACATACAACTCATGCCTGAGTACAAACCCTCACAGCGGATAGTGATAATCCCCCCAAGTGCCACCACCGAACTGGGGATCACAGAGATGAGGGGTTTGGGGTACTCTAATTTGAAAGAGAGACAACAATTAGATGGGCAGACATGAGCCCAACTCTCCTGCTCCAGCCCTCTGTCTGTATCTGCCTCCCTCAAACTCCAGCCCTTGCCCTCCCTGAGCTGTGCCTGACCAGAGACTGTTTTGGTTCAGCTCAGGTCCTGGCTGCTGCACAGGTCACCTTGTTGCTTGGCTCTGCAGGCACAGCCAAGCCAGCAGAGAAGCCTGAGCTGAGAGGACCCTGCCACTCTGGGTTTGGGACAAATAGAGTTGCCTCCATAATGGGTGACCTCCAATCACTGTACTGCAGAGTGTTGTTACCTATGATTTATAGTGCAAAAGCACCTGTTAGTCCCGGCCCAGCCCTGGCCATGCCAGCTATGGTACAAGACCAGGACAAACCCAGAGCATTGTTGGACTACATCAGAGGTGCCCAGAGCCCGGGAAAGGGCACTAATACAGACTGGAATAGTCAGGTCCCCAGTACCATACCTGCATGTCAAGAGACATAGATAGACAAGTGAGAGCAGGAATCTCTGCTGCTTTTCAAACTGTGAACCAGGCCCTGCTTCAGTGACTCCATTTCTCCCATGGGTACAGGGGGGAGGCAGGAGATGTGGCCTGAGCTCTGGGGAGAAACTCTTGTGTGATGTAGGGTGGGGAATAGGTGTTACTCACCTCCCCATGCCCTGCTCTGAGGAGCCAGCCAGCAACCTGGGAAGAAAACAGCTCATCAGTGACTAGATCCCAGCAAACGAAGCACTTGCCCCTGTATGTTGTTTCCCAATCTGGGATCCCCAAACTAGTTTAACTGAGAGGGAAGAGGCTCCAGGACTCACACCCACAGGAACTACTGTTTTCCAGTTACCATCTTCCCTCAAATACTGGTCTCAGGGATTCACACCCTGCATGGGCACATGAAAATGGTATCAGACCTTCAGACCCTTCCTTCCTGCCCCTCCCTAGGGCACATGCCCTGGTCCCTGCCCCCAACCTAGAAACACAGATCCAGGTCTCAGACCATGGATACATGACCTCATCTCAAATTCCCCCACAGGCACAGGCCCTGGTGTCATATCACTCTCTGCCCAACAAGCACATATCCTGGATGTCGCGAGAACTCACCCAGGAGGAGGACTGTGAGAGCAGGCGCCATGCTGAATGCACTGAGCAGTCCCCCAGTGCTACTACCAACGCCCTGGTCCCCAGTTTCTTGGAGAGTGATGTCCCAGTGAGCCCAAAGAAGGAAGTGAGCTGGGGCAGTGGCCAGAGAAAGCCAGCAGTGCTCTCAGCCCATTTCTCCCCATCACATGTTATTCTCTACATGCTCCAGCTGTGGTCAGAGCAGATCCAGATCTCTGCAACAACCAACCAACCACATCCACTTATGCAGAAAGACACGGCCCATCCCTTTCACCAATATGGGCAGCAACAATGAGTTTCCACCAGCTCCACACCTAGGCTCCCAATTCAGAGACCTCTTGTCCTGGGTAAATTTCAGCACTTCCTACAAGGAGCCATAGATGCTGCAACCTTGTCCCATTGCCCCACTTTGCCTGGAATAACCGGCTGTTTGGCATATCACATGCTTAGAGGAGGCCTCAGTCCCCAGTAATGCACCACAATGAGCAATGCTGTCCCCAGCCATGGAGGGAGGTTCTTTTCTGACCCCAGCTGGGCTGCACAACTGCCTGGAGCACAAGGGCTAATGGGCCTGGAACAGGTCCTTCTCAGGTGATGACACTGCAGAGACTATTATTACCTGGGGCCAGGTGAGAGGCACACAACTGGGAGCATTGTGGATTGCAGTTCTGGTGTCAGGATAAGTTTAGAAGTTGGTGATTTCCAGCAGGGAAGCCAGTGATTCAGGGAACGGGGAAGTCTCCCTTGAGCTGACTGTTTGGTCCTGGTGTTGTCTAATTATGCAAATTGAACAACTGAGATGCCATCAGCTTCTGCAGCAGCAATGACATCTCTATTCTCTTGGAGTGAAGCAGGGTCTGAGGAGGACTAAGGCTTGGAGATGGAGGGACCAGGAGTCACAGATTCACAGAGAAGCAGGGTTGAAAGGGAACCCAGCAGTCATCTAGTCTGAACCCCGGCCTGAGGCAGTATCAGACCCATCCCGCACAAATCTAGAATCTGTCCTCTTTGTAAGACTACCCTCAACCCTAACACAACTCACACAACACATAACACCCCATCCTCCCACAGGGAAATCAGGGAAACTACAGCAGCCAACATCCTGCTTCTATAAAAGGTTGTTAATATATGCTCAAGAGATCTGAGGTAGAGGCCATGACTCCTGCTACAGAGAAAGTCAACAATCCCCCACATTGCATCAATCTGACCATGGGGAATATTCCTTCCTGACCCGAAATATGGTGATTGCTCGAATCCTGAGCAGACGGGAAAGACCCTTTCGCCAGAAACAAGGAGCCCCCATCATCTCTGACATTTTATACCCTGCTCTGTGTCCCCTCATTCTTCCTTCCCTCACCAGCCCCATGCCATGGCCCCTCACACTGCCTGCGCTTCTCCCCAACTCTGCCTCACTCTCCCTGTTCCCTCAGAGCCACCCTCACTCTTCTCCCTGACTTTGCCGTGTGCTTTGGCCCCCGTCACCCGGTCTATTCCCCATTCTACCTCCAACCAATGTCCACTCATGTCCGCCTTTCTCCCCTACACCCTACTACTCCCAGTCCCATCAGAGCTGGGGGAGGAGGCATTTTAGGCTAAATCCTTCCCATGGCTGTGCGGGGCTCTGCTCTACTCCATTTCATCCCACCCCTGCAGTGCCCAAGCTGGCATGAGCTGACTCTGTCCCTCTGCCACACATCGCTCCTCCACCTATTCCTTGTAATGTGACAGCTCTATGGGAAGTTCAGAGAATTAAGGAAAAAAATGTCTCCCCATCTACCAGGACCTCAACGATCCACTTCACCATTGCCTAAAGTGGTGCAAACCCTCCTAGATCCATGTGCTTAGCCTCCATCAATGTGACTTCAACCTTGATGAAGCTTGGTGTGGCCAGGTGCCCTTTTTGGCTTCTGCCACTTTAAGGGCTGGAGCAGGTAGACTGCAGGTGCTTGATTAGGGAGGCCATTTACAAACTTAGGCCACTGTTTGCTGCCAGTGGCCGAGGCAGCAGCATCAGCCTGCCAAGCTCCTGTTCCCAGAATACCTTGGAGGTAAGGGCAGGAGCTATGGGGATGGTTTGGAGCCGCCTGGTCCTGGGCATGACTTTAAACTGCACCTTGCTGTGGAAAGGTGGCCTGGTGCAGCATCCTGTGGTGAGGGAGTCCCCAAGACATGCCAGCCCAGTTACCTCCTTGGTGAAAGGCAGGGAAGGGCACCTCATAACCCTAGCCCCCACTCCTCAGTGGGTATTTATAAGGGTTAGAGCCAGGCATGCCTATTGTGGCATCTGAGCCCTATGTATGGGGGAGTGTTAAGACCCCAAGGGCCCCAGAGAGGGGGGCAGTAGTGTGGCCCCAGAGAGGGGGTAGTTGTGTGAGCCCAGGAAGGGGGTAGTTGTGTGGGCCCGCACAGAGTAGGGTGTGCATTGCTGGCCTGAAGAACTGTGTGTTTAGGGGCTGAATAGGGCTGAAGTAATGGCCTGAATGGCAGTCCTGAGATGTGCTCAGTAGAGGCACACATGCACCCTGAAGGACAGCACATGGGCCAACCCCATAGGGAGAGAATGTGAGAGTTTGTGAATAGTAGCCCAGAGAAGGGCAAGAGTGGCAATTGCCCAGAGGGTAGGCCAGCTGGCATGCTGACACAGTTGCCCAGGAAGGTGTGACAGTGATAGTGGTGGCTTAGCCAGGAAGTTAGGGTGAGTCACAACCCCAATAAATCCTCAGATGTCGTGAGACTGAGTTACGGGTGAAGTGTAAGAACTTGTTTGGATGCCAACAGCAAGGCATGGACTGTGGTGTAGGGGAGGTATGGAGCTGTGGATAGCACCCCCTGGCATCAGGGTACTGAATGGGCAGCCTCCCGCTCATAAAAAACAATATTAGATCAAGTCATGGCAGGAGAGACAAGGCAGACTGCCCTAGACTTGTGGGTAGGCGGGCTGGCATAGCTACCCTGGAGAGGTCCTCCTGTCACACTTGGGAAACCAAATGGAGTTCACAGGAAGTCCCATATATACATCTTGTGATAGATCCAGTGCAGAAGGTCTTTGGCTTTGACCTCCCGCATCGCTTGGTGGCAACTCTATACCATATCCACACAAACCATGAGAGATGTGGATACTTGATGCACAAATGGAAAATTAAAAACTCTTCAGTTTTTGATCGTGGTCACCCTTAGCAGACCATGGAACATATAATGACTCAGTGCCCAGTCTGCAAATATGAACGAGGTATCACCATAATACACTCTGCTGTTCCCAATGCTATTGTCTGGCTCAACCACCTAAATGTAATATAATAATTGCTGTTCTGTATTTACATCAGCCATACAAAAGAAGACTATAGCCCCTAGACACCTGTGTCATAATATATATAAGGCTTTATACCAATTTTCTTTCTATCCATACAAATGATCAACCAATCGATTTATAAAACAAACCTTTTTTCTATGCAGACAACTTGTGCATAAAAGCCCAAAACAATGGTTTTGACCCTGGGACCTGATTATCCCACTGTCCAAATCCAATTGACCTTGGAGTCACCCTCAGTCAAACCCTCTTATACAAAGAATACATCATAAAGACAAAAGCAAAGATGAGCATTCATAACACGATCCTGTATAACTGCATTAACTCAAAATGGGGAGCTAGCTCCTCAACCTTCCCAACCACTGCTCTGGCTCTCAGCTTCTCCTCTGCTGGGTATACATGGCCTGTATGGGAGAGATCTGTACACACTAAGTGCCTTGACCCCATCCTGAATGATAGCTGCCAATGCATCACAGGATGTGTGAAGCATACGAGCCTAAACATTGTGTACCTGCTGGCTGGCAGCACTGCGCCTGACATCAGAAGAGCAGTGCCCAGCGGGATAGAATGATTGAGACAAACTGAAGATTTGAGACACCCGCTGTACGTCCATCCCACCGCACACAAACGGCTGAAGTCATGTAGGAGCTTCATCGCCAGCACCCAACCTCTCAAAGTCACACCCAAGGAGACACGACTATAGATGTGGAACTAGAGACTGAAAAAAATACCTGACAGCACAAACATGGACACTTCAGCAGCTGAGTCCTTACCCCCACAGGCTGATGAACCATGGCAAAAGTGGTGATGTCTCAACAGCCTACATACCAGATGTCGACACTGGGTTTATGATCCAGATACCTTGTTCTGGGTGGACCCAAACCCTCAGACCAACCAAGACTTCTTCCATTCGATAAAAGCTTCATCCTCCAGTTCTTTCTCTAATGTCAGATGTCAGCAGCCTGGAGGTTGAGGGCCGAGTTGGGGGAGTGAAAGGGCTGGTGGTGTGCCCTCTGTCCATGGTAGCCCCAGGATCTCCCCTCTGGGACCCTTTGCTACTCTGAAATGACTCGTTTTGTGTTCTTTCTCTCCTTTGATGACTCTTCATCTCCAAGTACCACTGACTGGTTTCTCTGTGATGATCATACTGGCCATGTTCTGTTCTGCCAGCATATTCCTTTGTTTCCCAAACCCATCACGTGCACACATTTTAATTTGGTCGTGTACCAGTGTCTTAATTTGGCCATCTGCCAGCCTACTAATTTGGTCCATCCACAAAAGCCAGAAATACCAAGGGCTTTGCACCTGATCACTGTGACCTAATGCCACCTTATCTCATGTTATGGGATACACTGTTCAAATTTCCCAGCCTGTTTCTGCCTGCTTGTCTGTTGGTTACAGACAGGTGTCTGCCTTGAAGGAAACTTTGTCACAAACAGGCTTTTTGAAACCAATTAACCCTTGCTGTTTCCCTGGACCATGTTCTAATGCAATATCTACTTTATCTACAAGCTAATTCCCAAAAGCAAAACTCTAAACATCATTTTCTAGCCATCACTGGAGTTTGACGCTCCAAGAAACTAATGAAGAGGTGGAGTTATAACAGGGATGGGCAATTATTTGGGCCTGTGGACCACCTAGGGAGATTTGTTGAGCTGTGGTACAGAGGTTGGCATTCCCTCATCCCCAACAATTCACTAAGACTT